TATGAAAAGAATGCCATATTGTTATTGTTAATGATTTTCACACACTTTCCCAGAACATTTAACGAAATCTAGGCATATTTTGTCATAAAAATGTCACATCCAAACTTATTGGCAATCCGTCAGTTGCCATGTTGGTTGTTGAATGCCGCAAGATTATGCGCATGCGCATGTGGTGGACCTTTTAAAAAAATCATAATTGCTTCATAATTCATAGTAATTAAATCATGGCTGTAAGGGTTTATAGCACATGTGATATAATAAATCCTTACGGTAAAATTTTGAACCATACACCATTCTAGAATAAGTACAGTTTGGCTTTTAATTACCATATCATATAGGTGATTTAATTGCAATAGATCTATATAGTGCAGCTAATATTTAGTTGCTATGGAACCTTACAGTACAGGTAATTCGAAGAAATGGATCATTCTAGAATCAGATTCTGGTGACCATTTCTCAAAATAACTAGGTAAGATATTTGTGTCATAATTTTTTGCCTACTATCCTGGGCATACTAAAATTAATGTTAATGTTGATGCAAGAATTTTGAAAGTACCCGAACATGGGAAAAAATTAATGTTGTTTGAACAATTCAAAGAATATTTATTACGTATTTTCAAATTAAATTCCAACAAGCTGTCGATTCTATTTGAAAGAGAAGTCGTACAAAATGTCAATACCGATAATAGCGCACCCAAATGCCTAGAAGATAATCGGATTTCGACGTATAAATTTAACGCTGTCGAATTGTTTTATTTTTGTTCGTTCCGCAGTCGCAATGTTTAGTGCGGGTTTGCTTCGCACGATTGGGTTGGCGAACTAATCAAATATCGGAAATTAACTGCAATTAACATAATAATTCCCAATTAAACTTGGTATCAGTTTCACTTCGTTATTGGAGCTCGGTAATTAAATCAATTCGTTAACAGCAATCACATTTCGGCAGGTTTATTAGAGAAATGCCGATTTAATTTCTTTTGATCCAATTTTTCGGAATCCGATGCCTCAGTTTAAGAAACTCCAAAATCCAACTACCTGCCTTCAGGTATTTTTCTCTATGAGATTTATCAATAATTCAGTTTTTCGCAAATTCTGTGTTACAGTTTATAATGTTGTCGATTCCCTGTCCAGTGGATTAAATTAATCTTAGTTCTCTTGCTCTGTTGTCTCACCATTCCGCCCAGCATTATGCATATCGTTAATCAAATTTAAGAACCTTACCAAATATCTGCACGGAGAAATTGGGCGCGTCCAGGCGTGTTTATTTCGCTTCCGGTCAACACTGTCGGTTAATACAACTTTAGCCTATTCTATCTATCCCCTTCATTTCTGTTTGGTGGTTTCCATCGCAATTGCAAGCTGTTTTGCTCCAAGTAAGTATAACATTCAATAACGGTCTCTTTACAAATTTATTAGACATAGGAGTAAGGGAACTACCAAGAGATATTGGACATGGCTTTCTAAAGAACAACTGAAACTGTTGAAATTGTTCAGATGTTCCTAAGTGGTCCAAGTAATTCGATTTTTCGACAAAACTATGATTAGGAAAGTAATGGAAATGATTTATGGCGCCGACGTAGAAAATTTCTGCAAACATTAATATTATTTTCATTGTGTACTATAACTGCCACAGTGCTGCAAATCTGATCGATTTTGGTGAGTTTTGGTTAGCTTTCTCTCACGATCTGTCGGTCCTAAACAAAAGTTTGGGGGTGTTGGGGGTAAAGTACTTAAAAAAATGTTTCTGTTTACCCCACAGGGTTTTCGATAATAGACCGGATAATAAGGGGGATTTCAAAATAGGGAATTCAGTTCAATTCAACCGGACTAATTTGTTGGGAGCGCTATTATTATACCGCCGCAAAAGATCCCGCCCCCGATCATTTTTGCACCGCGTAAACAAACCTGCATTAAGAAGTCCATTGTTTTTAAGGTCGGCTTTTACCTCGGTTTAATGAAAGCGACTGCGGAACGTGCCTCCTCCCCTCCCCCCTCACTCCCGGCGCAAAGTTAAATTACACTTGTGGGTTAATTAAAAACCCTCCGGGCCAATGTTTATCCGTGCCCGGTCCACTTTGCGATCCCGCGTTGAATTTCCACTCCCGCGACGTCCGAAAAACACCACCCGTTATAATTTATTTCGCAACTTTAATGGATAGAACGAATTAGCCGTAAACAGACCACCGGGTTTTAAATATGACGTACTGGTCAAGCCCAATGTGGATTTTTTCGCAATAAGTGCAAAAGCGGATTGCCATGCAAACGAGAGCGCCATGTCATAGTTTGTCGATTGCAATTTTATGTTAGTATTTTAAGATAAGTTTATGTTTATTTTTTATATTTATGTATTTATATTTTTATAAAAAAAGTGTTTTTTCTAATTGCGAATTCCAAAATGCCTCTTTCATATTTTCGATGTATCTATGCGTCAAATAAAAATATTATGAGTGACAGAGTACAAAATTCTACTACTAATACATAAACAAAAAATGTCCTATATTTCCACCTTTTTGAAGGCGGATACCAACAAATCTGTATGGCTGAAAAGGGCTCGACACGTTCACTTTTTTAAGACTATAGCCAACCATGATTGCCGTATAAAATGCGAAAGTTGTATTGATTTATGAGAAAACGGAGAACTGTAGAAAAAATCTGAGTACGCCACTGTATTCGCCGGAAAAAAAACCTAATAATATTTTTATCCCAATTCAAAATTTTCATAAATAATAGAGTTACGGACAATTTTCTATAGGGGGATGTCGCCATGCAGTTTTAACCATTCAATGATTCTCAAAAATCGACCCCCTGACATGTAAGTCGATTTTGCGCTGTCTAGTTCAGAAATGTGTTTTTCTTATTAAAACACTCCAAATTAAACCACCCTGTACACTGTGGCCCGCTTATCTTAAGACAGTTTTTCTAAGAAAAAAAAAACAATTGGACTAAGGTGGCTTTTTTATAAAAGTTCAGATTTTCACGAAATTATATATTTTGACAAACATTTGATAAACACACGGTGTTGTCGAAACAATTGTCATGTCAAAACATATAATTTTGTGAAAATCTGAACTTTTAGTTCATATTTATTTTGAAAAAAGAACAAGTTAAAACAAAAACAATCGTACCTATTTTAAAAACATTTTCAATTATATTAGGTGTTTCATAAAAACTTTTTTTTTCTATGAGATGAGAAATTCATTATAATTTTCCTTACCCCTATTAATAGTTTTGTACACTGTGGCCCGCTTATCTTAGGACACTTTTTCTAAGAAAAAAAAAACAATTTCAAACAAATATAATCGTACAGATTTTAAAAACATTTTCAATTATAAAGTTGTTCGGAAAGTCATTTCGTTTTTTCCCGTCAGAGAACTTAATTACGTTTTTTCGAAACCAACTTCACACTTAAACCGCATAACCATTATATGTCTTGAGAGCTGATATTGCAAGGCTTGTGTGTGAAAAAGTTCTATTAATTCTACGCAGTAGTTTTTGGTTGGTGCCCTTTTAAATATGGAGAGCAATAAGCAGCATTTTCGTCATATTTTACTTTTTTACTTCAGAAATGGTAAAAATGCTGTCCAAGCGAGAAAAAAATTGACGAATGTGTATGGAGAAGGCGTGTTAACAGTACGCCAGTGCCAGAACTGGCTTGCAAAATTTCGATCCGGCAATTTTGATGTCGAAGATGCACCACGGTCTGGAAGGCCGGTCGCAGCTGACAAAGATGCGATAAAGGCATTAGTTGATGCAAATCGGCGAATAACCACACGAGACATCGGTGAGAGATTAAATTTGTCGAATTCGACTGTTTATGGCCATTTATGCCCCATGTCCTTACGGAGCGAAATTTGTGTCGTCGCGTTGACGTGTGTGATTCGCTCCTCAAACGTCAAGAAAATGATCCATTTTTGAAGCGGATTATTACTGGGGACGAAAAATGGGTTGTATACAACAATGTTAAACGCAAGAGGTCATGGAGCAGAAAAGATGAACCGGCTCAAAGCGTGTCAAAAGCCAACATTCACCAAAAAAAAGGTGATGCTCTCCGTTTGGTGGGATGTCAAAGGAATCGTTTTTTTGAGCTTTTGCCGGACAATACAACGATTAATTCAGAAGTCTATTGTCATCAACTGGACAAATTGAATGATTCACTTAAAGAGAAGAGGCCCGAATTAATCAACAGGAAGGGTGTAGTGTTCCACCAGGATAATGCGAGACCTCACACAAGTTTGGTCACTCGCCAAAAACTTTTACAGCTTGAATGGGACGTACTGCAACATCCACCATATTCTCCAGATCTGGCGCCTTCCGACTACTATTTGTTCCGGTCCCTGCAAAATTTTTTGGATGGCAAAACCTTTACCTCAAATGAAGATATCAAAAACCACCTGAACAAAACTTTTATGAGAGGGGAATTATGTTACTGCCAGAAAGATGGCAAAAGGTGTTGGACCAGAATGGCCAATATATAATTTAATAAAATATTTATTCATTATACGAAAACTGTCTTTCATGTTCCCCAAAAAAACGAAATGACTTTCCGAAAAACCCAATATATTAGGTGTTTCCTAAAAACTTTTTTCATTGTATTTGATAATAAATTCATTATAATTTTACTTAACTATACAAATTACAAAAATATATATTAAGAGCTTTTTAATAAAGAATTAATATTTATTGCTATTTATAAATTTTTTAAGTATTCCTGAGTATCAACTAATCGACAACTATGCTACGGGGAAAAATCATTTAACAACCGGATATCTCATGGTTGGAAATAAATTTTATAATATTATTCATAATGAAATAAAAAATATTATTAGCAAAATATTTTCACAAATATTATGATAGTGCTTATGCTGGTTTTCTTCATCTCATGTTGAAACATGAAGTCGTATATTAATACATATTTAAGGCTAAGCTCAGCTCAAATGCAAACGTAATATTTTACAGTTTTTTCGACTGCAGCCGATGGTGATAACCGCTTTGTTTCGCAGGGTTTGGACAACAGTATTAGTTCGGGAGGCACCGTGTCACATTTTGAGCCACAAGTGGCGATGCTCTGCGATGCCGGTCTCCATGGACAAGAAGCTTACCATCCTAAATTCATGACGGAGCAAGGCGAGTGGTTGTCCGACTTGTATTCGAAAGCAGCCTGCTTCAAAGACAAAATGGATATTTTAAATTACTGCAAAAAGGTAAGGGTAATTTTGGCCAGCCTATATGCTAAGGCAGAGAGTTTCGAAAGATCGCGTGCTAAAATGTCAATGTGAAAAAAACATCTTTTAAAAGAAACTTGAACCAAAGTAAATGTATTCCAATATGTTTAAAAAAAATCTCAAAAGTTCAAAAAAAAACCTTTTAATTTTCGGAATAATTAATAGAGTAAAATTAATTAATAATATTTATCAGGCAAGAATAAGTCATATAAGCGTGTGACCTAGCTGTTCATTATTCATTTCACTTTTATATCGAAGATTTGATTTGAAAATTGGATAAAAAAAAATTAAACTGTTGTCTTTTTGCTTTTTCCTTAAAAAAAAAAGAAAATCGGAATTTTCAACGATGCAACGAAAAGTTTACTAGAACTTTAGAGCATATCGAAAAACATAGATCTTTTATGAAAATCATTTTTAAAATTCTTCAGTAATTCATAAGAAGAAATCGATTTCATTGGAATGCAATATACAAAAAATAGAAAAAAACAAAAAATCTTTGTATTGCATTTGTAATTTCGTTGTAATATTACATTAATCCACTTGAGACTTCTTAAAACCCTTTCGGAGAAGAAGTCACATCGTCATATTCACGTTGTGTCAAAACTTCAAAATCGAGTAAAACGTCAGGATGTGAATTTCTAGCGCGTATATCGACGTAGACTAAGGGACGGGCGACATTTTAATCGTTTGTCGAGGGAGGAAGTCCGCTTAGGATTTGATCCGAACCCGAAATTTAAATGTAAATCTCCCTGCTGGTCGCTTCTATCCGATATAACCGGCATCGACCACCAGTCTCCATTATTAAACGCAAATCAAGCTTGTCGCGGGGCGGTTAAAAGCTCAACCGCCGAGGAAAACTCTTGTGTAGTTTGAACTTGAGCGAACAAATATTTAAAATGATTTTCTTTTTCAACGGGATATCGACTTCTTCGACGTCCCGGATTCACAGACGGAACTAGAGCGACGGCAAACACCAACCTCTAGAGACTTGGAAACATCATTTAATCGAATGCAAAGGGAAGAAAGGGGGGGATGAAATACAAAAATCCAGGTTTTTGAAGGAAGTGCGCTCGCGTTTGCGAGAAACGCCTTTCTGTTCCAAACCGCTCTCTCAAAAGAAAATTCTTTTTAAATTTAAACGAAGCACCATATATCTAAATACCTTATCGTGTTTAACTACTGCCTCTCTACCACTACCTATCGAATCATGTTTTTTCGTAATATTCTTTTTTTCTTATTTTCGTATATCCTATCGTTTTTTTCATTTGTTCCTTCATCGTAGGCGTTAGGTTTATCCATATTTTATTTTATATTCGTCTTTTAACGTTTTTTATTTTATATTCACGGCTCTCTAGATGTCGATAGGCTAAGGTATTTCGTAAATGCTTAATAAAAACGAATATTGTTGCAATTAAATTAAATTTTCTCTCTGACTGTCCGTGATCGTATACACTAAACTCTCGGCGAAGAATGGAAAATATAGGGAAAGAAACTCACCGAAGTCCGTTTTTCCGCAACACCCGATACATTTGAATTCGCATATACCGGGTTTAAATTTCGTGGGTTTACCGACCGACGCTGATTTTCGACTATCATAGAATGGTTTTTAAGGCCGTGTTGCCGAGCGCTTCCCCAAACATATAAAAATACAAATAAAATAAAACAAATTCAAATCGGAGCACACACAGATAAATATACGGAACGCTTAATTATAAAAGTTAAAGAAAAATTCGTTTAAAGTTTGTCAAGTTGGCAAAACCCGGTTTAAAATAACTAGTTTAGATTAGGTAGATTAGTTAACTGTTAACAATACATGTGACTTGAGAAATTGAAGAAAATATTTTTGCATTGACATGCTTTTCAACTAACCAAAACTAACCAATTAATTAAAAATCTTTTTAAAATCAATCACTCGTTTCGATATTGTAAATTACTATATTGGGTCTTAAAAACACTGTACAAGCGGTATGAAAATTTGGTTTGACGAGTAAACAGTATGTCAAATTGGTATGCGTTCTACTTACTTTAATCTAATTTTAATTTAATGTGCCTTTTCACAAACCCTATGGCATTTTGAACGCTTGGTTGCAATAGTTTTCTGTGTGATACAAAAAGATTAATTTTTGGTCAAAATAAGACCCAAGTTTTGTAATAACATCAACAATTTTTACGATTTTTTAATAAAAATCTGGCAGTAAATTAAATCAGTGGCGTGCGTTAAACTTTCAGTTGAGTAATTTCGATCTAATTTAGTGTGAATGTCGGTATTGGTGTATAATCAATACCCGTCCGCTCCTAATAATCAAGTTAATTATCTTCGCAGTTTACCTCGTCCGGGGAATTTCATTGGAAGCAATCGTTGCCCATCCAGACAATTATCGTTTGTTTCAAAATTTCGCGAATTCCGATCAAATATAAACAGCCAAGTCGGCTCCAACCTCGCGGTAAATCAATCGAAAGCCCGAACGCAAACCAATAAACAACCATTTGCGTAGTGTTAAGTTCCAAATTTGCATTGGAAACCGCTAAATTACCACACTGCGGGCAAGTTCGAACCCCCAAACTGTCACAGGTCCTAGAATTCCTATTTCCTCCCCCGTACATAAGTAATTGCCCCATCGGGAAACATGCGAAGGGAAACGATGACTCAGTTTTGAATTGCTAACGTCGCTAGGGTAGAAAATTGTTTTTGGTACAATGTGCAAGTTATTTTCCAGGGTTTTGTTTATGGGACATTCAAGATAAGAGTAACGAGCCAGTTGTATCATTTACAATCTATTTACAACACTGGTAATTGTTAAACGATTAACATAAAAATGTTTCCGCGACACAACAAAACAAAATAGTTTCATTTTCACAGCAGCAATTGTTCATTTAATTTTTTCAGAGCATGATGTGAGGGGTTACATTGAGGGGTTTCTTGTGAACAAGTAACCGCAAACTCGTTTCCGTAAAGTAATATCTTGAAATTTTAAGAAAGCTTCATATCCGCAGTATTTGATTTTTTCACAACTCCAGGTCTCAGTTTACCTCAAGATTGTTCTTGATTCATGATAGCAAAAACGTCTCGAACACAACTCAAAATATTCAATATAGAGCCAAAAGTACAGGAGTGCACGTCCGTATATTCTTAAACCAGAAACATATATACACAGCTTTCTAGCACTACAATATATTTTCCTGCAGCAACAATGCTCTAGTCTGCTAAACATTTTCTTATGGCTGGCCATGAGGCGAATTAGAATCAGAAAAGTCGCTATAAGAGTTTGATTGTCGATAATTTATAAACATTTGCATTACAACTTTTGTATTTTCCAATACATTTATAAAGGACGCCTATTCGGAAGGTGGGACAAAAAATTGATTCAGTTGTAGATTGGGAAAGTTACTTTCAAAACGAGTTGAACAAGTATTCTATCATGTCTATGCTATGTTTGTCCAATTATTGTCGTTAATTTCGTCATTAAATTGTGATACCAATATAGACATTTAGGCAAAGGACGGGTGGGTGAAGAGTGTTACTTTGAGAACCACATAACGTGGGAGAAAATTATTAATTAGAAAAATACTAAAATTTTCATCAACTTGAAACACTTTTAGAGATATGCGAACCACATCAATGCAATGACATATGCTTTCAATTTGTTTACATAGCCATTAAAGGACACTTTGGAATTCAAACCGCCAAGTGCTTTGCAAATTTCACAGTATTGTGGCATCAGTCTTTATAATATTGGGTTGTTCGGAAAGTCATTTCGTTTTTTTTGGGGAACATGAAAGACAGTTTTCGTATAATGAATAAATATTTTATTAAATTATATATTGGCCATTCTGGTCCAACACCTTTTGCCATCTTTCTGGCAGTAACATAATTCCCCTCTCATAAAAGTTTTGGTCCTTGCTGGCAAAAAACTGGTTCAGGTGGTTTTTGACATCTTCATTTGAGGTAAAGGTTTTGCCATCCAAAAAATTTTGCAGGGACCGGAACAAATAGTAGTCGGAAGACGCCAGATCTGGAGAATATGGTGGATGTTGTAGTACGTCCCATTCAAGCTGTAAAAGTTTTTGGCGAGTGACCAAACTTGTGTGAGGTCTCGCATTATCCTGGTGGAACACTACACCCTTCCTGTTCATTAATTCGGGCCTCTTCTCTTTAAGTGAATCATTCAATTTGTCCAGTTGATGACAATAGACTTCTGAATTAATCGTTGTATTGTCCCGCAAAAGCTCAAAAAAAAACGATTCCTTTGACATCCCACCAAACGGAGAGCATCACCTTTTTTTGGTGAATGTTGGCTTTTGACACGCTTTGAGCCGGTTCATCTTTTCTGCTCCATGACCTCTTGCGTTTAACATTGTTGTATACAACCAATTTTTCGTCCCCAGTAATAATCCGCTTCAAAAATGGATCATTTTCTTGACGTTTGAGGAGCGAATCACACACGTCAACGCGACGACACAAATTTCGCTCCGTAAGGACATGGGGCACCCACACATCGAGCTTCGAGGTTAAGCCCATATCCATAAACAGTCGAATTCAACAAATTTAATCTCTCACCGATCTCTCGTGTGGTTATTCGCCGATTTGCATCAACTAATGCCTTTATCGCATCTTTGTCAGCTTCGACCGGCCTTCCAGACCGTGGTGCATCTTCGACATCAAAATTGCCGGATCGAAATTTTGCAAACCAGTTCTGGCACTGGCGTACTGTTAACACGCCTTCTCCATACACATCCGTCAATTTTTTTCTCGCTTGGACAGCATTTTTACCATTTCTGAAGTAAAAAAGTAAAATATGACGAAAATGCTGCTTATTGCTCTCCATATTTAAAAGGGCACCAACCAAAAACTACTGCGTAGAATTAATAGAACTTTTTCACACACAAGCCTTGCAGTATCAGCTCTCAAGACATATAATGGCTATGTGGCTTAAGTGTGAAGTTGGTTTCGAAAAAACGTAATTAAGTCCTCTGACGGG